TGTTCTAATAGTTTTTTGTAAGTTCGGAGAATAATTGAGCTTAAAATGATCAGCTACATTTTTTAAACCAAAATAATCTTATCTTTGAAAACAGTTTGTATTATTAAGGTACAACTTATTATGTAGATATTGTGAGCCAGAAATTAAAGTGTTTTCCTGTACTATCTGATCTAATCCTCACAAACTTTGTGAGGTAATACTGAGTCCTCATATTTTACAAATGAGTGAGTTCGATTCATGCAAAATCACTGTTAAGTATGAGGAAAAATTCTCTTTCAACCCTAGTCTAAGGCAGGCACCTGTGTTAGTGCTTGGAAGGCTGAGGCAAGGGGGTCCCCTCAGTCTCTGACTTGAGAGCAATCTGAGCAACACAGTGAGAATCCAACTTATGAAAAACAAAAAACCTGACCAACTGAAGCCAACCGTGTTCTGTCTTACTCCTAGGACCAAAGACAACCTTTCTCCACTTGCTTCCTCCATTCACAGGGATAGAGAAAAGAGGCATGAATTATTTCTCATAGAAAACCTTTTACCGAGGCTAAAGAGATTGCTCAGTGGTTAAGATCACTTGCTGCTCTTCCAGAGGACCTGCATTCAGTTTCCAGCACTAACACCAAACATCCTTCAACTGTCTGTAACTCCAGCACCAGGAGATCTGACACCTCTGACTTCTGAGGGCACCTGTTCACATGTTGCGTATGTACACTAAATAAAAAAAAAATTTTTGAAGAATTTTTTTAATTTAAAATATTTTTTAAATTTTTTTATTTATGTGTATTTATTTATTGCCTGCATTCATGATGTGCAATGCCCAAGGAGGTTAGAAGAGGGCATTGATCCCCTGGAACTGGAGTTACAGACTGTTGTTAGCTGCCATGTGGGTGCTGGGAACCAAACCCAGGTCCTCTGCAAGAGCAGCCAGTGCTCTTAACTTCTGAGCCATCTCTCCAGCCCTGTCATCTGATATTTTTTGATATCTATCCTGTTTCTAGAATTTGGCTATCATTATTAAATATTTGCATTGTAATAAAATTGCCCAAACACATTTTGATTCTTTTTCTCATTTTGGTATGTATGAATATTGTCATAGCTGTCTCCTAGGACATATATACCCTCATGGAAACACAGGTGTGGACAAGCATGTGATTCTCTGTACACAGCTAGGTACAGAATTGCTAAGTCCAGACAAGGGTCTTTCCAGTTCTAATAACCAACCAATGCTGGCACTCTCTCTCCCATCCCTGAATAGTTTCAAGAACAAGGAGAGCAGCAGCCATCACTGTGGGACATTCACATCAAGTAGAGGGAGTCCTCATTTAGGTGCATTCAGGAGTCTCAGGATGATGTCACAGAGTCCACTGTGAGGTCACACCTGAACTGTGGGGTATGGAAATTCAGAGAGCCTCTCTCAGGTAGAATGGTTCTTTATTTAAACTGCAGTGAGACAGCTGGAATAGGCTCTTTGGATACACCTTGGGACCTGGGCCCCACTGCAGCCTCTGGCTCTGGGTTCTACTTTAATGAGCCTCAAAGGTCACTGACTCTGTAACCTCCGATGTCACAGAACCAATGATGTCCAGGTCCTGGCCATTTGGTCCCGTATCTATAACGGCCTCCATGTCGGTTCTCTCCAGTTTCTTGGCCATGATGTCCACATTGCACCCTTGCTGTGAGGCCAGGCCTCTGGCAGCCAGGTTGACTCTGATGTTCCTGAGGAATGAGCTGATCCTGCTGAGCCTCTTATTTGTTGAAGCAGAGCTGGTGTTGGAGAAGTTCCGTCTGGACTTGTGGGAGTTCCGCAGCTCCTTTGTGATGGGGACGTGGCTGATGCCTTTGTGGCCACTGCCATGCTTGGTGTCTTTGTGGCTGCCTTTATGTGTATGAGTGTACTGCCTGCATGTATGTGAGTGCACCTGTGTCGTGCAATGCCGTGGTGGTCAGAAGAGGGCTTCCGATTCCCCTGGAACTGGAGTTAAGGATGGTTCGTAGCCACCATGTGGGTGCTGGGAATCGAACCCAGGTCTTCTTCAAGAGCAATCAGTGCTCTTAACCGCTGAGCCATCTCTCCTGCCCCAGTAGAGACAATTTTTAACACATTTTTCCAGAAATAATTTGAAGCATGTTACGTAAAAATATACATGCAACGAAGTTTAAGGGAGGAAGTAGGAGTAAGAAACCAAAGGATTCACCAACATGGGGTCAACTTTGGTGGAGTGATGACAGTTTCCATTAGCTCTGTTCTTTTTGTAAAAAATCCTAATGAGTTTATTGGGCTTGCTAACAGAGCATAGGGTGAGGGTTTATTTACAGAAGAGTGGGTGCCCTCCCAATTTATGGCTGCGCTGGTAAGTCCACACTCAAATATAGATCCTGTGACTTCCCAACAGCCACACAAAATGGCGAGAGAGGTGCCTCACGGCGTTCTTGGCTTATAGACCCTTAGCCTCTACCCTGGTTTCTTGAATCTTAACAAAAGATTCATATATAAAGAAAAAGAGTCAAGATATGTTTGGGGCTATTTTATTACAATGCAAGCATTTAAGATGATAAAATTAAAAAACAGTTACTGACAACCACATACTCAGCCCTTGCTTAAGAAGCACATCATGAGATGACTCAGCGAGTAAAGGTGCTCGCCACTAAGCTTGAAGACCTGGGTTTGATTGCTAGGACCCATATGGAGTAAGGAGAACAAACTCTTGATAAGTTCTCCGACTCCCACATCCTCACCTACCGCAGGGCTTGGGACCACCTTATTCCCATCTGCCTTTGGTTTAAGCAGTCTATAAATAGAATGATACCTTAGTCTTTGATTTGTTCTTTTTTTAACATTATGAACAAATTTATCTATGCTTCCACTTCTGTACATTACTTGAATACCCCACCTGATGTAGCCTAAATTCTGTGATTTTAAAAAATTTTATTTTTATTCTATGAATGTATTGCCTGCATGTCTGTAAATGCAATCATGATGTGCAATGCCCAAGGAGGTTAGAAGAGGGCATTGATCCCCTGGAACTGGAGTTACAGACTGTTGTTAGCTGCCATGTGGGTGCTGGGAACCAAACCCAGGTCCTCTGCAAGAGCAGCCAGTGCTCTTAACTTCTGAGCCATCTCTCCAGCCCTGTCATCTGATATTTTTTGATATCTATCCTGTTTCTAGAATTTGGCTATCATTATTAAATATTTGCATTGTAATAAAATTGCCCAAACACATTTTGATTCTTTTTCTCATTTTGGTATGTATGAATATTGTCATAGCTGTCTCCTAGGACATATATACCCTCATGGAAACACAGGTGTGGACAAGCATGTGATTCTCTGTACACAGCTAGGTACAGAATTGCTAAGTCCAGACAAGGGTCTTTCCAGTTCTAATAACCAACCAATGCTGGCACTCTCTCCCATCCCTGAATAGTTTCAAGAACAAGGAGAGCAGCAGCCATCACTGTGGGACATTCACATCAAGTAGAGGGAGTCCTCATTTAGGTGCATTCAGGAGTCTCAGGATGATGTCACAGAGTCCACTGTGAGGTCACACCTGAACTGTGGGGTATGGAAATTCAGAGAGCCTCTCTCAGGTAGAATGGTTCTTTATTTAAACTGCAGTGAGACAGCTGGAATAGGCTCTTTGGATACACCTTGGGACCTGGGCCCCACTGCAGCCTCTGGCTCTGGGTTCTACTTTAATGAGCCTCAAAGGTCACTGACTCTGTAACCTCCGATGTCACAGAACCAATGATGTCCAGGTCCTGGCCATTTGGTCCCGTATCTATAACGGCCTCCATGTCGGTTCTCTCCAGTTTCTTGGCCATGATGTCCACATTGCACCCTTGCTGTGAGGCCAGGCCTCTGGCAGCCAGGTTGACTCTGATGTTCCTGAGGAATGAGCTGATCCTGCTGAGCCTCTTATTTGTTGAAGCAGAGCTGGTGTTGGAGAAGTTCCGTCTGGACTTGTGGGAGTTCCGCAGCTCCTTTGTGATGGGGACGTGGCTGATGCCTTTGTGGCCACTGCCATGCTTGGTGTCTTTGTGGCTGCCTTTCTCCTTAGCATCTTGGGCGGCTCTGTGGCTGGGTGATTTTCGATCTGCCTTATCTGCTGCTGCCTTGCGCAGACCTTCTGCTTTGGGGTTATGGGAACTCCTGCCAGCAGCTCTCTCTTTTTCTCTCCGCTCCTTTCTCTCCCTCTTGTCCTTATGGGCCCCGGCACTGGCCTCAGAGGCCCTCTGCTTCCCATTCTGTCCATCTGAATGGCTTTCACTTGGCAAGGTCAAGGTGAGAGCTAATGCTGCTGGATCATTTGCTGCTTTTCTGACAGACCTGCTTGTAGCTTCTGCTCTTGCAGCCACCACACTTCTGCTGTCTTTTTGGGAGAGGCTGGTCGACGCACTGGAAATGTACTCCAAGGATTTGCTCATTGCACCTGCCAAGGCGGCCTGAATGCTTCTGGGGGACGTCTTGCCAGCACTTGCAATGGTCACTTGGCTTTTGCTTCCTTTTGCACCCATGGCAACCCCTCCTGCAGTGTTTATCTGTCCAGAGCCTAGAGACCTGGGTGCCACCAAGCTCAGAGTGCCTGCTTTGCTCCCTGCCCCTGTCACCACTCTTGTCCCTGTTGGCAACTCTTTGGCAAGGTCTTTAGGTCTGGTTTTGGTGATGGATCCACTGGGCATGATATTGGATTTCTGGGAATCATGATGGCTTCCCTCCCCACCAACAAAAGCAGCAGAGGTGACCCCACTCACATCTGTGACCAGATGGAGGCTCCTGATGCTGACCTGGTCTGGGTCTCCCTTTCCTTGGGCATCTGCAGCTGCCAGACTAGTCTTGGTCTCTTCATCCAACATGGGCATGTACATCATGTCCTCCGCTGGGATGGCATAGGTACTGCTGTTACTGTCCACAGGTGGTCTCAGGAGGTAAATCAGTTTTTCCCAATAGGTAAAGAGGTTGTCCTGGGCTTCCTGAGGCGGGCACAGCTGCAGGTAACAAGAACGGCCAGTGGCAAACTTCAGGCGCAGCTGTTGTTTCTCACAGTTGTGAACAGAGATCCTCATGAACTTCAAGGGAAGGAGCCTCGTCAGCTCCAAGGTCTTTGCAGCCTTGCGGTTTCTGCCCTTGGTGGCCTGGCCACATCCAGCAATGTTCTCGCAGCCTGGGACTGGTCGGGCCAGTAACATGACATCAGGGAGTGGAAGAACGGGGCTGGTGCACGCGATGCCCAAGGTCACCATTCGGACCCGATTGTGCACGTCGATCACTTCCCCCCGTTTGGTGATCTGGATGAAGTCACTCTCAAATATCGGTGCATACTTGAATATATCATATTCTCCTTTGTAGAGTTGCCGCTGTAACCTCCCCATAGCTGTGTTGAACATGCCGACTCTGGAGCTGCCCTGAGCTGTGAAATATGGTAACAGAGACTCCATCTTCATGACTATCTTGTACTAGGACAGGTGCGCCCACAAGGTGGGTTCCTAAGTCTTTCTTGGTCTCTCGGATGAGGGGAGCAGCTGTGCTCCTGGGTCACAGAGGTGGCACTGACAGCAGGTCTTTCAACCCCAGCTCCCAAGCCCCCTGCCCAGCTTGCCTCAAAGCCTCTCAGAGGCCTGGGCCGGGGGTGGGAGCACAGATGATTGACAACGGGGTGCTGTTGTGTGCCTGGACTCCAAGCCCAATCTGTCCAAAGGTATAGAGATACAGGGTAGACTCCAGGAGGTTTCCTTCTGGGTGTAAAAGCCCTCCACCTGTGATTTTCACAATCTCCCTGAGAGCCTACACACCACAGCCCCAGCAGGAGAGGTGACCACCCTCTTTGCTTCAAGCCCCTGTAGTCATCTTTAGCCCCAGCTGCCCTTTGTGACCTGGCACTGTCAGCTCCCCTTTGTTCCATCTTTCATCTGCCCCACAAGAGGACAGGCCCTTAGGTGGAGGCCGAAATGAAAACTTTTTCAAGTGGGAAAATTTTATATGGGTGCTTCTTTCTTCAATCTAAATTGAAAAGATCCCCCCTATGGGAATGCAGAAAGCCAGGGTTAATGTGAGCCATGTGAGTTCATGGTTTGATTTTATTGGATAAACTAGAATATTGGTCTTGATCCTTCCATAAAAATCTCAGTAAATGTTGATGATGATGATCTTTCATAACAGTCCAGGCCTTTACTGGTTAAGGTAAATTTTATTAATTACAGGTTGCTCTGGACTGCGTATTACACTTTACATATTACTGTAAGATCCATCGGTGAGTACTGTTGGCAGTCTCATTTTACAGGCAAAGAAACTGATGATAGGTCACCTACACCCACAAATTATGTTATTTGAATCCAGGTCTTGCTGATTCTAAAATCTTTGTTTTAAAACACTACAGTACTTTGCCTCTGGAGGAAACCTTGGCCCAGTCCAATGTTTTCAAGCTGTACTGACTTGCTTTGGGGTTTTGGGGTACTTTATGGTGGGAAGTTTTCTCTCTCTCTCCTCTCTCTCTCTCTCTCTCTCTCTCTCTCTCTCTCGTGTGTGTGTGTGTGTGTGTGTGTGTGTGTGTGTGTGTGTGTGTGAGAGAAAGAGAACCCAGGACCACCACTTCAGACTGTGGGTGGGCTGAGGCGGACATGTGTGTGTGTGTGTGTGTGTGTGTGTGTGTGTGTGTGTGTGTGAGATAGAGAACCCAGGACCACCACTTCAGACTGTGGGTGGGCTGAGGCGGACGTTAAATTACCCAGTGTGCCCTGTTGGTTCTTCCCTTTTGTTTTGTTTTCACAGGAGACCATTTACCCTCTTATGGTCCCAGGTTTTACTCCCCACACTGCTCAGTGAAATACAAGGTATGGGGAGGAAGGGGGTGGGAACAGAGCTCCTTAAATTCCAGGAGCTGATCAAGGGCCTAGTGCCCTCCTGAGCAAAGTTGTTTATATTTGTTATCATGACTCCTGCCTTCTTGCCACACCCATATAGCTAGCCAGACTCTGGATTTCCAAACTGTTGTCACAGGAGAGTTCTAAAGACTCCTATCCCTCCTTCCCTGAGGTTTAATGACATTCCACTCCAAACATTCATTCCTTGAGGATAGAGGCCATCACTCTATTAAAGCTCGAACACACACACACACACACACACACACACACACACACACACACATCCATTTATTAACCGATGGATAGATGGGCAGAATGTCAAGCCTCCGTACAACACACTATTGCTCTGCCATGAACAGAAATGGAGTGTTGACACACTTCAACATGAACCTCAATGCTATGCTAAGTGAAAGAAGCCAGATACAAGGGCTGCAGGTCAGGCAAGTCCACAGAAGAGAAGCAGATGAGTGTTTGCCACCAGCCGCAGGGAGGGGCCCTAGGGAGTGACTACTCAGTGGATGCTGAACAGTGGTGGCCACACAGAATTGTGAATGTACTTAAAGTGATTTAAATATTGTGTTGTGTTATTCCATTAGCACGAATATATATACACATTTAGAACTGTTGTGGCTTTAAAAAGTATAGCCTTGAGATGGGTATGGTGGTACACACTTTTAATCCCAGTACTAAGGAGGCAGAGACAGGAGGAGTGCTATGAAATGGTGGCTAGCCTGGTCTACAAAGTGAGTTCCAGGCCAGCTGTGGCTACAGGGAGACCCTGTCATACAAACAAACAACAAAAACAAAAACAGGGACTGGAGTGATGTCTCAGCAGTTAAGAGAACTGGCTGCTTTTGCAGAGGACTTGGGTTAAATTCCCAGCACCTACATGGCAGCTAACAACGGTCTATAACTACAGTTCCAGGAGATCCAACACCCTCTCCTGTCCTCCAAAGGCATTGCACGACACATGTGGACTTACATACATGCAGGCAATACATTCATACATATAAAATAAAAATAATAAAAAATATTTAAAAACAAAAACATCAAAAAAGTATAGCCTTCACTTCTAGAAAGGTCAACTGTGTGAAAGGTCAGTATGTTTCTGAGCTCTCCCCTTTCTCTTCTATGGAATGGGGTGACAGCTGTGAGGGTTGGATGCAATGTCTCCTAAAGGCCCATAGTTAAAGGCTTCATCTCCAGCAAGGTGTTACTGGGAGTCGTTGTAACCCTTAGGAGGTGGGTCCATAATGGGAGGCTGGCTTATGTCACTAAAGGCACGTGCCTTTAGGGTGGACGTTGTCACCCCAGCCTCTTTCTCTTTTATTTTTTGCCTCCTAGCCATCAGGTGATTTTGCTCTGTCCACACTCCCCACCACAATGTGCTGACAATACACAGGCCAGAGCAATGTGACCAACTCATTGTGGACTGATCCCGAGTCCTCCAATTGTGAGCCAAAATAAACCTTTTCTCTTGCCTTTTACCTTTTTCATGTGTATGTGTAGTGTGCATGTGCATGTTTTCATGTGCTGGTACACATACGTGTGTGTGCCATGTGCATACCTAAGGTTGATGTTGGGAATCATACTCAATGGCTCTTCCACTTTGGTCACTGAGGCAGAGTCTCTCAGTCAAGCCCAGAGCTTACTAATAGGGCTGGTCTTGCTGGACAGCTCTGGAGATCCCTGTCTCTTGTTTCCTGAAGGTAGATTTGCAGCCCCACACCCACCTAGCATTTACAAGGGTTCCAGGCCTAGGTGGCAAGCACTCTAACCTCTGAGCCATCTTGCCAGCCTAGTTTTTGTCTTTTAAAAAGTCATTTCTATTACATTCACTTACTGTGTGTGGGTGAGCATGCATGTGCGCGTGCCCAGAGGACAGCGTATGGGAGTCGGTTCTCTCCTTCCACTATGTGGGCTCTGGGAAGCAAACTCAGGTCATCAGGCAGCAAGAGCTTTTACCCACTGAGCCATCTTTTTTTTGTTTTTTAGACAGTGTCTCCCTGTAGCCACACCTGGCCTGGAACTTGCTATGTATATCAACCTGGCCTCACAGACATCCACTTGCCTCTGCCTCTGAGTGTTGGGATGAAAGGCACATGCCACCATACCTGGTTCCACTGAACCAACTTGTCAGCCCACCTTTTCTCTTTTAAAGTTGATTGTTGGGGCTGGAGAGATGGCTCAGCAGTTAAGAACACTGTTCTTGCAGAAGACGCGGGTTCAAATCCCAGCATCCATATGGTCGCTAACAACTGTCTAGTCCCAGAGGATCCAACAGCCTCTTCTGACCTCCGAGGGCATTGCACAACATGGGTGCACTTACCTACATGCAGGCAATACATGCATACACATAAAATAAAAACAAATAAAATTAAAAAAATATAAAGTTGGTTGTCTTGGGTATTTTGTTATAGTGACAGAAAGCTGACTGACACGGAATAATGCACGGAATGTCTATGACCTTAATGATGGAGGGAGGGAGAGAGGGAAGGAAGGACACAGAAAGGGATGGAGGAGGAAATCATGTGCTCTGAAAATTTCAGAAAATTAAGAGGAATACTTTCTTGGGGCTATTATGCCCATCTTGACCCAAATTTTTCTCCATTTCTCACTCTTTCCTGATACTTGAAATACAGAATTGAGGACTGAGGCATTCAGATGTTACAGACAAAAGGCAAGGTTCCAGAGGCTCAGGCTGGACCAGTGAGATGGCCCAGCAGCTAAAGGTGCTTGCTGCCAAGCCTAACAACTTGAATTCGACCCCTGGGCCCCACAAGTGGAAGAGAACCGACTCCTGCAAGTTTTCCTCTGATGTCCATATACATGCCATAGTGTGCACATGCTGTCCCCTTCCCCACCACACACACACACACACACACACGCACGCACGCACGCACGCACGCGACGTAATTAAAAAAACTCAAGCTGAAAAGTAGAAATGTGTTTTTGGTGCAGGTGTACATTCAAAGAACAATGGTTAGCAATGCCAACTTTACCATCTTAGTGCAAAACAGTTGAAATGGTTGAAATGGTTAGCAATGCCAACTTTACCATCTTAGTGCAAAACAGTTGAAATGGTTGAAATGGTTAGCAATGCCAACTTTACCATCTTAGTGCAAAACAGTTGAAATGGTTGAAATGGTTAGCAATGCCAACTTTACCATCTTAGTGCAAAACAGTTGGTATAAAGGACTCACTTGAGTGTTTGGCAATGAAAATTTGATCATCAAACAACACAGACTCAGGAACAGGGATCGCCTAGCTGTTAAGAGCTCTCTGGCCTCCACATACCCCCACATACACACACATGCACACACATAATTAAAAATCTTAAAGAAGTCAATCACCCCACCCAGTGTGTTCCCTATGAACAAAGGAAGCCACCCAGAATACTCAATGCTCGCCACCCCCATGATGGACCAAAGAGGATGAGAAACGAAACCAGCACAATACTTACTTTACATGTCTTGGTTCTGATATTTATTATATTGACAGGCTGGGAATACTGGGATAAATAAGTAATATTTTCTCTTACAGAAAATTGTAATGATACTATCAAGTGGTATTAAACACTCAAGATTTCACAGAAACATCAGAATTTTAACAGTAGTCAGAGTCCTGGTGGCCAGTGGGAGGGGTCTCCCAGCTGAGATGCTCTGGCCAGATCTCTCATCAAAATAGCTACAAGACAAAATCAGTGCCTTTAACATCCCAAAATGCAGAAACCGGGCACCACCTGGCTTCAGACACCCATCTGCACGGACTGTGGTTTCTGACCACGAAGAAAGGAAAACGGAGTATTTGTCTGGCTCTTCTGGCCTAGAAATAGCTCCTGCCCTGTCACTGGAGAGTCCTAACCCTTTGGAAGTTGTTAGACTTTCTTTGTGCTTTCTTCCTGTGACATTGTAATGGTTGCAACCGAGGACCTGCTGTCATGTCCACAGATTCTTCCTTAGCAGCGGGCACTCAGGGAAAGGAGGCGTCCTCTGTCAACAGCCTGATTTTGCTCCCCTGGGCCTGGTAAGTTCACCTGGCCTCCCAAACACTTTTATGGGACACTGCCCAGGACACAGACCCCAAACTCTCAGAAACAAGGTCTGAAGAAACACTCAGAAAAGTCACACCAGTGTTGTACAAAACAAACATCAAAATCGCTCAACGCCTAGTTCTGAAACAAATGGCTAGGGCAGTCATTCTGGGATGTAACAGCAGACTTGCTAGAAAGCACACCCTGGCCATTTTGCAACCTCGATAAATGGCCCTCTTACTCCATGTCCCCTAGTGGCAGCACCAGTGGAGGACACGGTCCCACCCCACCCACTAAGGTACAGACATTTCTGCACCAATCCCAGAGGCAGGCATCCTGCTTTGCATGGGGACCCAGATGAACTGTGAGCAGGTCCCCAGCCAGGGGCCATCTAGATCATCTGAGAATGGCCAGGATTTATAAGGCCTAAGTCCTCAAATTAGTGAGACAAAGGATGCTCTTGCCCTGGTCCATGGTTTGCTTGGACAGAGTGGGACAACCCAGTGGAGTCACCACAGGGCCCCCTGCCTTGATGGTTCTCGGCTGCTGAGATGCACAGGAAGTCAGCTTTCCAATGGCTTCAGGATTTTGTGTGGAAAAGGAGGATTCGATGAGGACTCCCCAGTTGCCCCCATGCCACGGCTGCTTAGCTCTGCAACGTTCCTTCCTTTATCTGTTGGATAAAGAGATTCCTCTCATCTTCTGGAGTCCGCCCGTTCTGCGCTCGGACGATACACGTGGGCCGGTGCAGGTTGAGCATATATATCAAATGCTGTTTCTCATTCTTCAGCTCCTCGATCTGGGCCTTCAGCTCGGCATTCACACTCTCCAGCTTCTCTGACTCCTGAGGGACAAGTGGCAGAGGCATTAGGGAGGAAGCAAGGACCAGGGAGGTGGAAGGAACCGCCTGGGCACCTCGTCAAGCTGGAAGACGTATGTCAGGGGAACCGTGCTACCCCAGTGATGGGAGAACAGAGCTAGGTGGGGGGTGGTATGAACTCTGGAGAGGCCGTTGGGAGGTGTGTGAGGAGAAGCCCCAGAGATGCCACTGAGCCAGGCTGTGATGGTGCTAATGCTAAAGCTGCCTTAGAACCAATGGCTCAGAGGTTCCTCTACACCAAGCCATGCACAGGGCATCGGGAGCTAGGGAGAAGTCCAAACTTGTAGCATGTAATTTTTGTGATTCTCTGATCTCACTGAACCTCTCATCTCCCCAGAAAAAAAGTATTTGGGAGCACCAAAATTTCCTAGTGTCCTCCGAGCACCAGAAGCAATGAGCAGAACTTTTGGGGTCTGGGGCCCTGGCTCAGGCCTCTGCACTGGCCCGCCCACACTTGGGGGAGCGGACTCCAAAGACTTCCGGCACCATGGCCTGTCCGGTGTCCGAACATACACTGTTCCCCCTGGTGTTTCTTAAGGAGTGCTGGCCCACGGGGTCTCAGACCATGGCTTGGGAGAGGCAGAGCTCAGATCCAGGCAGGATCACAAAGTGTAAGCAGGGCTTTCAGGTTCACAGAGTAAGTAACTTGAAGAGATTAACTAAAGGCTTTTCCTAGCAAGCAGCAAGTAGGTGGCAGTTTCTTCTTTGGGAAAATGGGTACATGACGCCTGTTCAATGAGGCTGGCCTAGAAACTCCTGGGCATATATGGACCAGCTGGGAATTTGGGCATCAGATACTAAATCACTATCATCATCATCATCATCGTCGTCATCATCATCATCATCATCATCTTGTGTGTTTGTGTCATATGTTTGAGTGTGGGCATACATGTGCCATAATGTGCATGTGGAAGTCAGAGGACAACTTCCAGAAGTCAGTTCTCTCCTTCCACCATGGGTTCTAGGGATCGAACTCAGGCTGCCAAGCTGGTGGTAAGTGCCTTTACCCACTAAGCCTCCTCGCTGGCCCCCAGACAGTGAGAAGTTTTCATTCCCACATTTACGTTCTAACTAGAGCCCCATCCATCCTGCTAACAGCTTTGCTACCTCCTCTCTGAAGCTAGATTTCAGCCACCAACCACGAGGCTTTTAAAGCCCTGGCTGCCAGTGACACAAGGCTGGTGAGGGTGGGCATCGGTGAGAGGCAGGGAAAGCCCGGCAGACACTCACTTTCTGAAGACACTCCGTCTTCTCCTTTTTCTTGTTTCGGCACTTGGCAGCTGCAATCTTGTTTCTTTCCCGCCGTCTCTTCTTCCTTTCATCGTCTTCAGGGGCCACCTATAAAATCCAAACAGCACCCCACTAAGCCATCGTGAAATGCCACTCACCTCCAATGTACAGCCTCTTATTCCCAGCAAGCACTGGCAAGCCAAAACAGCCCTAATGTTAAGACACCCCAAATGTCAAGGCCTAGATTTTTTGTGTGAAGCCCCTTCACATATATGCACACACACAAGAATAGCAGACATATAGCCAGGTGTGGTGGTGCACACCTTTAATCCCAGCACTTGGGAGGCAGAGGCAGGCAGATCTCTGTGAGTTCAAAGCCATCCTGGTCTACATAGTGAGTTCTGGGTCAGCTGGGATACAGAGAGACCCTGTTTCAAAAAAAAGCAAACATCTAAGAATTATTTAAATAGAATTATTAGGAGCTGGAGAGATAGCTCAGTGGTTAAGAGCAGAGGACCTGGGTTCAATTCCCAGCAGCCATATGGCAGCTTACAACTCTCTAACTCCAGTTCTAGGGGAATCTGATACCCTCTTCTGACCTCCATGGGCACTGCACGACATGGGTGCACTTACACACACAGGCAATACACTCATGCACATAAAATAAAAATAATAAAATGTTTTTAAAAATAGAATTTATAGCAAAATTATCACTGGAATGAATCAATAGTTGTCTGGAAAGTGTCTGTGACTGTGGAGTGTGTGTGTGTTTTCTTTTGCGCTAACAGCTTTTCTTTCAGGTTTAACCCTTGAGTTGACATTGGAGGAAGAAATGGCCTCTTTAGAAGTCATTGGTTTTGATTTCCCTGATACATCGGGAGAGTGGCAGAGACCTTACCACACGGCTGTCCTGTTCAGTCCCTGCTCTGTGGCAGGATTCTTATGTCAAATGCTTAATTTGGCCAAATGCAAAGAATAAGAAGTGGGGAAAAGTTTAAAAATCATAATAAAATAAAATAAAATAATCAGAAATTAGTAATTTGCTGGGTGTGGTGGTGCATGCCCTTAATCCCAGCACTTGGGAGGCAGAGGCAGGAGGATCTCTGTGAGTTCAAAGCCAGCCTGGTCTACACAGTAAGTTCCAGGCCAGCTGGGCTACAGAAAAGAAAAGAAAATAGAATTATTAGAAATTAGTAAATTTAAATCTAACCTACTTTTAAAACACATTTGAATTCTGAAATAAGAGTTTGACACTTAAATTGATCACTGTTAGTATTAATTGTAACCACTCAAAACATAGAAAAGACTCTGCATAATAAGGATGCTCTCTCCCCTTGAGCCAGGAATGGCTTCCAAGTTATCACTTGGCTACCCTTTCCTGCTCTCTTTCCTAGTTCAAGACCCGAGAACAACTTGATTTGATTCTATTATAGTTTGAATGTGAAAAGTCTCAAGGGCTCATGTATGTTTGAACACTTGGTCTACAGGCAGTGGGGCTGTTTTGGGAGATTATGGAACCTTTGGGGTGGGAGGCATGGCTGGTAAAGGTGGGTCAGGCAGGAGGAGGGTGAGGGACATAGTCCTACCCCACTTCCGTCTGAGCTCTGCTCTCAATCCACAACGAAGTCATTGAGCCCCTGGTGCGGCAAGCTCTCACCACTGTGAATGGAGCTTCCCAGTGGTCACGTCTTCCATGCATGATGGTCTCCTGAACGATGAGCCACAATAAACCTTTCCTCCTATAAGTGGCTTCTGGCAACTATTTGGTCACAGTGATAAGGAACATGATACCTGTCTTTGCCTGGAGCAACACGACTCATTCTTCCCAAATTTGGGAGAAGTCTGGAGCTCCTGGAGAGGAGGGACTTAAGCCCAACCCCAACTAAAACGATATTAATAGGCCCCCAGCTGATACTATCAGTGAGTAGAGTACTGAACCATCTGTTGAGTCAGTCAGCATATCATACTGATCCTCTGGGCCTCATCCTGAACTGGCATTGGAGCTCCTCAGTGAGCACAAGCCTGCTTTGGTGTGCGGTCCTCCAAGGATGTTCACCCAGACACTGACTACATCTATGGACTGATGAGCAATCAGCATAACTAGCCACTGGACTCTGCTTGAGGACAAAGTCCACCTGGGATGGACAGCTGCCCAGTGTCAGACCCTGTCCTGTGTCTTGTCTTATGTGGTCAGCTCTGGAACTCTGTGATCGCCCCATTCCTTTTTTCTTATTGTTTTGAATTAGATGACACTGACTGGACTGAGGTAGAAGGTCTGTATTCTTGAGATGCAAAGCTGAAGGGAGAAATACAGGAGAGGGAGTTCTGCCTTGTCCATCCTCAGACCCAGACTTCTGGCTACACAGGAGCAATCACGCAACGTGCTCGAGAATAAGTAATGAAAATCAAAGAACTTTTAAAATAGACTTACTCTGGTAACATTAGTAAATTAAAGTCTAACCTACTTTAAGTATATTTGGATTTTGAAATAAGTCTGCTTTCTAAAATGTTAGCTGTTTGCAATTAACTGTAATTCAAAACAGGAAAAAAAAAACTATTATATAAATAGGCCCTTTCCTTGAGAGCCAGACCTGGAATCATCATGTATCTACATTTTCCTCTTCTAAACTTCCAACTATCCTTCCAAAATTCTTCCAAGTCCATCCATCTAGCATCCTTTCTCATTTTTTCCTACCACTTCCATTTTATCTGTTATCTCAAACTATTTCATTAGAAGAAAATCCCCCAGCACATCCCAGGCTCTAACCTGCACTGTCCGGGTTTGACTGGATACCTATGACTGTTTTGTGGTGCCCTCTCTGACCCTCTCTAAGTTAGCTGGGAGCACATCTAATACAGCTAATGACATAGTCCCTGTTACCATTCATTGGATGGCATGAGCCAGGATCCTGTTAGGCCTTTCACAAATGTCATCTCATTTAATCCTTAGATTGGTCTTGGCAGGAATAATCAAAGAATCAGAAAGACTGTCAATCAATCTCCTTTACCCCCAGTGCTAGAGATCAAATCCAAGGTCGTACACTACACCACTGAGCTACAACCTGAATCCTCAGCCTTCTTTTAAAAACAGATCTTTGGAGTCAGTTTCAATACTCCTTGCCCCAAGGCTGAAATCACACCCATCAAGTAAGCTTGAAATATTCCTATCTTGCAACCAAGAAAGGTCAACAAACTTGCAAGATCTCAGCTCTGACATTCTTGAGGCAGCACAGCGCCACCAGCAACCACATCTCAGTAACCTTGTCTGCTGTTCCAGGTGTCTTCTGACAGGTTTCTCAACACATCAGTGTGTGAGCAGGTGTGAGCTCAAAGCAAGTAGTCGGCACCAAGGCTCTGAGCACTGCTGCTGGGGAAGAATGGGGCCAGCCGCCTGGTCTTGGGTCCCCGCAGTGATGAAAATCACCACCATTTGCCTCACTTCAGAAAGACTCCACACAGAAAGTGACCTCGACAAACCCACAGCGTCAAGTGCCATCCACAGGCTGATGACTCCTAGTCCCGATGCCTCTACACTCTGGGCTCCTGTCTGCAGTTGCCTGTTTGACATCCCCAAGGAGTAAGAACATGGTGGGACTCCTGCTCTTGTCCTGACCTCCCATGGTCTCAATCTCTGCAGCAACGGATACTCTGTCCCCCTAGCTGTGCCAAATACCCTTGAGTCCTCTACGTTCATGCCCATATCCAGCTTTACCCTCAAGTCAGATCCAGAAGCCGACCACTTCTCAGCCTGCCATGCTCCATCCTACCCTGGATCCTCCTATGCTCATGTGGAGAGGTCCGTGGTCCCATTTCTAAACATTCTGCTCTGGCTTGCTCTTACTGCCTACTCAACATGATGGCCAGGGAGTCACGTCAACATATGCCAGACCATGTCACTCTGTCCTCAAGAACCTGCCAGTGGCTTCCTGCTCTACCCAGCACTCAGCCACAGCACCCCATGTGATCTTCCTGATTTCACCCCCACCCCACATTCCACTCCACTAAATGGGGTTCCCAGCACCAACATGCCTCTCTCTTACCTTCCCACATGGCTCTACCTCTCCAGCTCACAGACTATGACCAGTAAGGCTTTCCCTGACCTCCTAATTTAAAATAGGAACCTCACCTTTGTCCACTCTTCCTGTCCCTCTTTACTGCTTTTTTTTTTAATTATTTGTATTTTATGTGTATGAGTGTGTTGTGTACATATGTACTGGTGCACATATGTAAGTGCACCAGTGTTGTGCACTGAGGAGGTCAGAAGAGGGCGTCAGAGTCCCTGGAACTGGAGTTTTGGATGACTGTTAGCCACCATGTGGATGCTGGTAATCAAACCTGGGTCCTCTGCAAGAGCAGCCAGTGCTCTTAACCACTGAGCCATCTTCTAGGCCCCTCTTTTTTTTTTTTTAAGGTTTTTATGTGTATGTGTGTTTGCCTGAATGAATGTATGCAAGCATGTTCGTGCAGTGCCTAAGGAAGCCAGAGAGGGCGTTGGAAAGCCTGGAACTGGAGTTACAGTTGTGGTGCTGGGAACTGAATCTGGATCCTCTGAAAGAGCACTAAGGGTTCCTAACCACTGAGTCATCATTTGTACCTGCCTTCCGTACTATTTACTGATATTCTCTCATATTCTCTCTCTCTCTCTCTCTCTCTCTCTCTCTCTCTCTCTCTCTCTCTCTCTCTCTCTCTCGGTCTTTTTGAGACAGTGTCTCTCTGTAGCCACAGCTGGCCTAGAACTAGGTATGGAGACCAGGCTGGCCTCTCAATCTCACATAGATCTGCCTGCCTCTGCCTCCCAAATGCCCAGTTCTCTCTTTTTGTTTATTATTATTATTATTATTTTTATGTGTATGTGTGTATTGTCTGCATGTAGGTAAGTGCACCATGTCGTGTAATGCCCGCGGAGGTCAGAAGAGGCTGTCAGATCCCCTGGGACTGGAGTTATGGACAGTTGTTAGCTGCCATGTGGGTGCTGGGATTTGAACCCAGCTCCTCTGCAAGAACAGTCAGTGTTCTTAACTGCTGAGCCATCTCTCCAGCCCCCTCTCTCTTTTGTAAGAGACAGAGTCTTGCTATGTACCCCAGACCGGTCTCGAACTTACCACCATCTCAACCTCCCTGACTCAGCCACTTGATCACAGATGCACACTATACCTATCTGCTCATTTATTCTACACGTCTCTAGACAATAGAAGGTGCGCTCCCTGATAGCGGGCTTTTGTGGGTTTCACCAACTCTAGACCCCTGCACGTGCTCCCATGTAGAGAGTGTATGATAAATGTGTGCTGGAAGAGCCTACCTCAGCTTTTGTGACTGACATCTCCAGGGGTCTGCTGTTGATGGTGACAGTCTCCAATGCAGATGACATTCGATGGCAGAGGTGTTTGTTCTGAATGGCAAACCTCAGCTCTTCCTTGACAAAGGGGGTCAGGTTAGCAAAATCCTCAAACACCAGTGACCCAGGAGGGGACAGGCAGGGGACGATGGCAGATGCGCTGACTTCTGAGGCAGGAACCTGGCCTGGGTGTTGAAGCATCATTTTGCTGAAAGAAACATTGAAACCCAAACTTCTTCAGGGGTTCTAGGGCATGGAATACAGTTCTCCCCACCCACAATCTCCCGACACCAGAGCCCCACCCACCCCAGAGCAAAGTCCCATCAAGTCCCCAGGCTTCTGGTTTCTTTTCATGCTATCCTGTGCCCATGGCTGGAGAAGTCACAGGCCCTAAGGGGGAACCCTCTACTGTTGTTTTGCTAAGTGGACATGTCAAACTGCCTTCCAAATATTTAAGTTTAAACCCATAGATTGATGCTGCTCTCAGCCTTGGTCAGAGAAGTTTCTTTTAGCCACAGGCTGTGGTTAATAAGGAGATGTGTACTGACTCAAGTGTTGAGAATAATGACTTGAGTTCTCAGCCCTAAACAGGCTATCTATCGCATGCACGCATGCACACGCCCACAGGCTGTGGTTAATAAGGAGATGTGTACTGACTCAAGTGTTGAGAATGACTTGAGTTCTCAGCCCTAAACAGGCTATCTATCGCATGCACGCACGCACACGCCCCAAGGCTCAGGGAACACGGTGGAAGAGGAGGCAGGAAGAATGCAAGAGCCGGAGGTTGAGAGGAGCACTGTGAAACACTGACTTCTGGACAGGGCATGGCTGTTGTAGCATGAACTCACAGCAGCTGTGGTTACATTAATAGTCCAGCATGGAGGGGGAGGGGCACATGACCCCCCCAAGCCCTAGCTGAGGATCTATTGGCAGTTAAAGGCTACTGGGGAAAAGGGGGGATCACTTTCTTCAGTGGTATAACTACTGGTAGTTGCCCACGTTCCATATATAACCCCCTACCCATGCTCATGCAAGCAACCCTAATTAAACCCAGTGGATCATTTAAAAAAAAATTCATTTGGTGCCATCCTCATCTTGAGTAAAAGAAGGTCTTAAAATAACACAGCTCAGAGATGTAGCTAAAAATGCCTAACTGAAGTTTATGATAAGAGTGCTTGAACTCTTACAAAACCCATTCATTTTTGCTGGTGTGCATATATGCAAATGTGGCTTCAGTCTTGAAAGGGGAAGAACATAAAAAAAAAAAAATCACACGAGGGGCTGAGATAGCACAGTAAAGAGCACTTACTGCTCTTGCAGAGGACCCAGGTCTGCTTTCCAGCATTCACATCAGGTGACTGCCTGTATAATCTAATTCCAAGGGATCCAATACTCTCTGACCTCCACGACACCCTCACACATGTAGTACACATAAACTCATATGGGCATCCAAATATATATCTAATAAATTATTATTATTTTTTTTTACAAATCAGACCATCCCATAATCCCATTTCTAGTCTTATTTTTTTCAAAGGAAAGTTTCTGAAACCAGGTTGACAGTATCTGTGAGTAAAAGGAAAATCAAGAAGTGGGGATCCTTAAATTTGACAGCTATGGCTAAAGCTTCTCCTGCAGGAAGCTGTGTCTAAGAAGTAGGAAGGAGGGGTGTAATGGTAGCTGAGTGTTTTGATTCACCCTGGTCCTCCGCAGGGGATGACGAGGATGGCAGAGTCTCAGGTCACATGGGAAACAAGCAGCCCCTGTTTTAACGTGAAGTCTGGCGAAAGACCTCAGGGTAAGCATGAGAGAGGAGCAAAGCACGGGGCATTTAGGAGGCTGTTGCTCAGCCCTGAGGTGCACGGGGCAGCATAACTGAAGTTTAGACAAATCACGGGGTATTTGTCAGGGTTTGGTATTAGGTTTGTTTGGCTTCAGCGCTCATGATCTTATATTCACTGAAAACCCAAATATTCTTTTTATTAAAAAATATTTTATTATTTTTATTTTATGTGTATGAGTATGTTCCATGCATGTAAGTGCACCCGTGTCGGGCAGTGCCTGCAGAGGTCATAAGAGGGCATCGGATCCACTGGAACTGGAGTTAGAACAGTTGTGGGTCCTGGGGCCAGTGCTCTTAACCACTGAGCCATCTCCCCATCCCCAAACATTATTCGATATTAAACAAAAATCCATAGTAAAAACTGGGGAGGGCTCAGATGCAGCTGGGAGGCCCGAAGCTGAAACAGTGGTCGGAGACCGTGGGAAGATTCCCAGGGAATGTCTGAACTCTGTTCAAGGAATTGCTGGTCTTCATACACCAGAGTACATCCTCACCTACTGCAGACATAGGAAGTTTAAATGAGCCCTTTTATCTGCAAAACTCCCAAACTGGGATTTTAAAAGAAAAAGGTCACTATTCAAAGCCAGCTTAGCTATGTGCTGTCACAGTAGCTGCTTTCACCTCGGTGAAGAGGGCTGGAAGCAGGACCCCACTTCCCCAGAGTGAGGTGTGCCCAAGTGACACAGAAGACGCCTTGCAAAGCATTCTGCCACAGGGAGCTCCAAGGTCTCCAGGGCTCCCAGGATCTCTCCTACAGAGGACTGGCTGCTCTCCTAAGAGGCTCAGTGGGGTCTGGGTGGAAGGGTGTTTGGTCACCTTCTCTGATATTAAGTGCTTCTGATTAGAACACACTTGATCTCTTACACTGGAGACCTAAGATCCACTGGTGGAGGCAAGAATTCTGGGCCAGTGACTGCTGCCCTCCATGAGTCAAAAGAACCCCCCAAAAATGTATGTCATTGTCTTCCAAAACATCAAAGTTCTCTTAATTACCGCCCCTAATCCTGTGAGGCTGCGGGGCGGGGGGGGGGGGGGGGGGGGTGTGCATCTCTGGTGAGGTAAAAAACTTCTGGTCAGACCTCCCTGAAGTCATGCTCCCCGTTCCTTTCCAACTTTATTGAAAACCTAAACCGATGGAACTGGAAGCCACTGCTGGCCTGGCCTTCGTTTACAGGGCCGGGTGGCCTGAGACTTGGCTTGAATTCCACCGCAGTTGAGTGTCCCTTTCACCACCCAGTTAAGTTTATTAATGAGCCTTCAAGGGCTTGGAGTCTGTTGTTCGGGACTTTTCCCTCTTCCATTGTAGTGCAAAGTCTGCAGTCCCAGAGGAAACAGGAATGTCGGTGGTATGGGCTGGTTTTATGAAGAGCTGAGGGTGGGGCTTACTTGGGGACACAAATGGGTTATAAAGCTGTTTAAGCTCTTCTGATAACAAAACAGTCACTATCTGTCAAGATTTCGGCTCCCTCTGCACTAGGCTACAACTTTTGGTGTGCTTTCTGGATTTTCTTGCACAGGCTTTTGTAGAGAGTCCACCTAGACACAGGCTGTGTCCCCAAGGAAAACAAAGCCATTGAGACCCTCTAACATCCCTTTCATTGAAGAGGGAAAAGTTTGGGGAGCTTTGGTGAGCCAAGCTGACTTCTACAGTGATCAGAGATTTTTCTGACTTGCTTCAGAACTTGAGAGCTGCTTCTGCTTCGTGACTTCTGATCCGAAATCGTGTCCTATCATTGGCAATTTCATCATTTTCAAGAAAGTGAAACTTCCCTCATTTTTCTAACTAGGAATTCGGCTCCCAGACTTTATCTCTGAGCAGCTACGATGACTTTCAGTTTTCAGTTTTCCTTCTCATTTCCATCTGGCAAACCTGTTGCACTGGAAGTCAATGCCAACCTCCAACTAACTATCCATCTTGTTCTTTGTCCCGGTTTGTTCGGTGGCTGGAGGTACAGGGCAGGCTTCAGGGACAGAGGCAATGTCTCCTCCATGTCTGGCTCTGCTACTCACAAGCTAAAGACCCACTCATGAGCCCGAGGCTTTCTGGGTTTCAGTCTCCTCTCTGTAAAAGTGATCAAGATTGCCAATTCCCTTGAAGGACTATGGGGAAGAATGTATAACACAGACACACACAATTGAAAAGAACACATATGCCTGACACCCACACATACATTATCACAATAACTCTTCCATAACTTCAAAGGAACTGATTTCCTTGTTAATTCAGTTTAGCCCTATTGGTCAGGAATTGACTAGAACCATCAAGAACTTTGGGTAGGTTGGTCACAGACTCTCGTGCACTGTGATTGACCCCTGGCTTCCGGAGACACCAGGTGGACTCTCTCCCCACCCCCGCCCCCAGCACTTCTCCATTGGGGTTATATTCTTAAGGTAAGAGCTTTTGCACAGGAAACCATTTCTCTCCTAAAGTTTCTGTGGTGTCCTAGCTGTGTTCTTCCTCCCCTGTCTGAGTAACACTGGACCCTTTTTTTTTTTGTCTACCTCTTTAAGTAGACCAAGCTGGCCTCAAACTCACAAAGATGAGCCTGCCTCTGCCTCCCAAGTGCTGAGATTAAAGGCATGCGCCACCACGCCTGGCTTGGAGCCTACTTTTAAAAGGAAAGAATTGCTGGGGTCTAGTGGAGCATACCCTTAATCCCAGCACTTGGGAGGCAGAGGCAGGTGGAACTCTGAGATCAAGGCCAGCCTGGTCTATATAGAGAGCTGCAGGTCAGCTGGGACTACAGGGAGACCCTCCCTATCTTAAAAAACAAAACAAAAAAAACCACCAAAAAACAAAAAATAAAAATAAAAAATAAAAAGGAAGGAAGGAGTCATAGGTTCTGGCAGCTAATGGGAATCAGAACACTCAGTATTAGAATCATATAGGTCAGATTCTCATTTTGAAATTTAGTAAACTGAGGTCTGGGAAGGGCCATCTACTTGTCCAAGCTCACAGAGCTAGAAGGTAGCCCAGTCTGTGTCAAGCTGCTGACACCCACCCACTGCTCATCTTGTTCCACCACTTTAAGAAAGCAACCAGAGACAGAGCTGTTTGCCAGGTAGCTGAGGGGTGGAGAGTCCCGAACCTGGTACCAATCACAGGAGACTATGACAGGATGAAGACAGGAAATGGTCACAGAAGAGAAAGGAAGCCCATAGCTGCTACAGGGCCTGAGTGTTGTCTTCACAACAAGCACCTGGCCTTCAGCTTTTGAAACCTCCAGCCAGTAAAACTATAACCCCACTGCCACTCAGTGCAGGGCATCCTCAAAGCATTATCCTAAAACAAATGCTACATGTGAAGCATGGCCTCCCCTCCTTAGTGACACACACCTGTAATCTCAGCACTCAGAACTGAGGCTGGAGGATTGCCATGAGTTTGAGGCAAGCCTCGTTACAAAGGGAGACCCTGCCTCAAAAAAGCAAAACAAAGGAGAATAAAATAATTAAAATAATAATTAATAATGATGCAATAGAAGTCGGGCCAGTAATACCAACTTCTCTATTCGAAGTTGGGGAGACAGAAGTCCCAAACAAATGTGACAGTCACTCCCATTAAAACAGACACACTGAAAGCAAAGTTTAGCCAAGGACTTGGTAATTGATTTGTAAGAAAGCCTCTGTGATCTACGTAATGAAATTAAGGAAAATAAAATGTTTGGGGGGAAAGAAAGAGATGGAGATGAAGGTGAGGGTGGGGTGGGTGCAGAGAACCAATGAGGTGGGGAAGAAGTTCAGAGGCAGAGGCCCCTTTCCCTCCCTGTCTGACTGTCGCTGACATCGGATGCGGAGCGCATCATTCAAGTCCCCTCCCTGGCTCCTTTTATTTCAGTTACACCGCTCTAAAATCTGGAACTGTGGCTGTGGGGACCAGCACACGCGACTCAAACAAGGCAGAGAGGCACGGGGCGTGGTGGCCCGGGATGCCTGCACTTGGTGAGGCAGGTAGTTCAAGGACAGGCTGGATTACAAAGTGAGACCCTGCCTCAAACCCACAAAAGAACAACCTCCAACACGAGAGAGAGAGAGAGAGAGAGAGAGAGAGAGAGAGAGAGAGAATCGGAGTGTCTACGCGCACAAATCTCTAGAGAGAGAGAGAGAGAGAGAGAGAGAGAGAGAGAGAGAGAATCGCAGCGTCTACGTGCCCAAACTTCTCGACTAGGAATCAAGAACATCTGGGCTGCACACCACAAACCTAGTCTCACAAACATCTGTACAAACGGCCCCGCACCCTCATCCCTCCACTCGCGGTCTCTTCACGCCCACAGCGCAGAGAAACCCGGAGATCCGCCAAAAGAGCGGCGGAGCTCCAGCGAGGCACAGCGGAACGGCGAGCGAGGCTGAACAGGAAGCCCGAAGCCCGGGAGCCGGACCTCAGCCGGTCCTCTCCGCCCTCCACCCCGGGACAGCACGCCTCCGGCGCGCGCTACCTCCAAACTTTGCCCCACCTGCTCGGATCGCTGCGCTCTGCGCTGTCCGCCGCCGAGAGCTGCGCTCGGGGGAGACGACCTCGGGTGGCTGCGCCCGGGACCCCGGCGCCGGTCCCTTCCCCCATCGGAGCGCGCGGTGCCTGGGGCAGCGCTTCCTCCAGCAGCGGCCACCGCGCCTCTCCGCGGACTCCGGAGGGACGCGCTCCGGCTCCAGACACCAAGCGAGGGGTGGAGGGGGACCGCGAGCGGGAGAGCGTGGGTCGCCCCCGAGCACCGCCACCACCATCCAGCCACCCAGCCACCCGGCCGATCGCCTCTCCCTGCCGAGAGGAGCTCGGAGGTCCGCGGAGAGGACGCGCGGTCTCCGTCCCAGGGCATCTTTCGCGCCTCAAGTCAAAAGAGAAAGTTGGTTCTTTCACTTTGCTAGAAACTTTCCGGAGCACGCCGGAACAGCCGCGGCCCAGGGCAGCTCAGCCGCGCCACGGCGGCGCAGGAGACTCGGGAGCGCGGGTCCCGGGTGGCGCAGGGGGTCCCGGATTCGTCACCAGGGGGGCGCGAGGGAAGGGAAGCGAGCCGCCCCTGTGGCGCTCCTCCGCGGAGCCCCAGCTCACCTCCAGGGTCCGCTCCGGGCGGCCAGGCTCCAGCCGGTGGCCAGGGGTAGGTCTGTCCCGCCAGACGGCGAGCACCAAGGACTCCCGGCCGCTGCGCGGGCTGGCCGATCCGCTCCGCCGGGACTGCGCAGTTCGGAGCGCAACTCGCCGAGTGCGACTGTGGCTGGAAGCGCGTTGCATCACCCCTTTTATAACTCACGGAGCTCGCTTAACTCCGGGTTGCCAGTCCCAGGCTGACGTAATGCTATTAATAGCTTCCCGGGAGAACCGGCCGGAGGAGGGGTGGAGGAGGGACGAGGGCGGGGCGAAGGGCGGGTGCAGACCCGGGGCTGGTGATGCAAGCCCGAGAAGGGGCCGGTCGCCGCGCGTCCTGCGCGCCTCGCCAGCCCGGGACACACACACCCGCCCGCCCTCTCTCTCCAAATCAGGACCGGAGCGTCTCAGGCGCGCCGCCAGATGTGCGTACTCGACGCTGCGTGTTCCAGGCATGAGCCAATGGTGCCCAAGCCAGCCGTATGACTCCACCGCGCTGGCATCTCTCCCTCCGCTAGGTTGGGGGGCGGGGGAGATGGGTGGAGGCGGGTCCTGGCTGTGGCCCAGACTAGGTAAGGCTGGGAAAGCGGGCACGACCTTTCTCTAAAATGCATGGTCATTTTCTAGAGTTTCAAGAATATGCGTCTTCTCTGGCCAGACGCCTTTCTCAGAGAGGGGGTGGGTACTGGCAGAGGCCGCAGTCTTCTGTGTGGAAGAGCTGCCCACAGCCAGCCTACAGTGAGTCCACACCGTTACCCGCCGGTGTGACCTCCACTGGTGAACACAGACGCGGAGGACGGTGCTCCGGAGCCCGCGGCCCCCAGACGCAGGGAACTCCCGGTTCGCTGGGAACCCGAGGGGCAGGTGACCCAACCGGGTCGATTCGGGTTTTGGTTTTTAATAACAACCACAAACATTTGAAATTAACAGGGAATTCTCAGCGAACTCGAGAGCGTAGGAAGAGGTCTGGAGAGATCTGAGGTCACCACACTCAGGGTTCAGAAGGGGCTGAAGTGGGGGTCCGGGGAGCCCAGGAAAAACAAGGCTAGACTCTCCACGTGCCGGACCAGACGTAACAGAGTATGTGTGGGGTCGCTAGGTTGTCAGGTAATATTTAGAGAACACCAGTCCAGGTTTCTAGTCCGTCTTCGCCCAGGCCCCGCGGTGCTGGGACCTGGCAGCAGGGATTACGCACGCACAGCTCAAAGCTGGGATGGGACCCTAGGTCCCCAAATCCAGGTAGCGGGAAAGGCTGGTCCCAAGGCCTGAGTTTGGAGCCGAGGCCTCAGGAGAACTGGGTTTGAACCGTAAAAACAATTTCCCGGTTCCGATTCGGCAATCCCGACGGTCTAGGCTGAGCGGAAGAGACCCAGGGTCGGTGTCAACCAGCCACGGAAGGATAGACATGGGCACCGGTGTTGCCCGGGATTCACACCTGCCTGCGAGGCCTGCGCGCATACGCGTGGGGTAGGATAGAGTGGGTAAGGGCAGAGGCACCTGCTATCACCCGCCTTTGAGAGAAGGGAGAGCCGAAGGTCACTGTGCGTAATTTGGGATGAAAAATCAGAAGTGTCTCCCAGCCGCCACCCCATAGCATCTCTATCTCTCTCTCTCTCTCTCTCTCTCTCTCTCTCTCTCTCTCTCTCTCGGCATTACACTCCAAGGAACTGATGGCCCCTGGGACAGACACTTCGGGCAGAATCAAGTTCTCCGCACCCGGGTTTCTCGCTCCCAAGAGGGAGCCCGACCCCACCCAACCCCCTCGGTTCCAGCACCCCGACGGTGCACAGGGCGGACCCAGATGTCTCCCCGCCCTCTCCGGGCTGGGGAACCCTGGGGTGGTTCCATCGCCGGGATCCCCGCAGATCCTGCCAGGGTCTGACCGGATTTCAACGGCGTCGCGCGGGAAGCGCAGTCCGGGTGTTTTGCTTTGCTTTTTGCCCTGGTAACGGCTCGGGAGCCCCACCCTCCGGCTCCCACGCCCACACCCTGCTCCACACCTCCACGCCCCGCCCTCCACCAACGTGCGGGCTGGTGAACCCCAGGTGTGTCAGCACAGCCCCTGAGAATACCAGGTGTCCCGAAATGAGAATCATTTGGGATCTCCACATATCCCCCACCTCAGACTGCCCGGGACTAAACGACACCACTGTGAGGTAAACCCAGTAGAGACCTCCAAATCCGCTGTCAACCCACAGGAATCCTTCATTGCTTGACAGGTTAAACGTGGTTCCAGTAATACACAAGAGCGGTCGTACTCTTAAGGATAGTTCAGGACCCCAGTCCACACAACAGTGGGAGGAGGGGGTGGACGGGAGAAGGCCCCTGGGCGTCATGGCTCCTTGACTTTGCTGGCGTTTTCTTCCATTCTAATCATTAGCTTTCAATCTCCAAGTGGCACCTGGATGGAAATGCTCCGAGCTGTTAACAGAACTCTGACTCTGGCATCCTCTGCTTCCCTAAAAGTGATAAGGATCTCCAGGGAGAAGAAAGTCCACCCCCACTTGAATGGAACTCTTATCCCAGGCAAACAAAAGCCCCTTCCTGCCGGTCTCGGTCCTCTGGACCCCAGGAGAATCGTTAAACGCCTGCGAAAGAGCAGCGGGCAGGAAGCGCCCCCCAAGGTCTGCGCCAAAGGAAGGTGTCAAAATCTGAGTTCCCTGTGACCTCATTTTACCCAGACTTAAAAGCCACCAGGGTCCAGCGCGGCGCACTCGCCCCACAGCGAAGCACCACGCGGAGAGGGGCAGGAAAATCTCCCCGCACCAAAGTCGCTTTTCTACACAAAGCCAAAGAATGCCTCTCCCGCCTTCGCCGGAAGCCCAGGCAAGGGTGATTTCAGGGGTTAATCCTCAGTGAAAGAGAGTTAAGCAGAGACTTGAATGTTGTAGAGGGTTTTCGCCAGAGAACCGCCCAGGGAGCCCACATGCAGATTAGCCTCTGTCTGTTTTGCTGAGTGAGATAAGAATTGAAGACTTCATGCCGGGGCTTGTACAAA